TATCCAAATGCAAAATGCAATTATGTCTGAAAATACTCTTATAAGGATCTAGGCAATACATAGCCTTGTGTACAGGCATCTAGTGGTTAAACCATGGTATTACTTTCTTTATTTCTACCACTAGATCTGCCTTCCATGCAATGGATTTTAAATATCTTTGCTGTATTTTTAAATTAACTGTATTATTGTATAACTGTTTTAGTTTGTATAGACAAAAATGCAGCATAATTTTAATGTGAATTTTGTCTAGTGCTATATAATAATACCATCAAAAAAATTATAATAATAATGTTAATGAATAAATATTATTGAAACAAAATATAGTACATTCATTTCATTTAAAAAAAATGTTCTGCTTATTTTCTTTGTTATGTTTTTGGCCTCCGAAGCTCACAAGTCTGAGGAAATCCAGATGGTTAATTGTATTATTTCTGGTGTTGTTTTTGATTAGCAAGATTACTTTCAAATTTTCAAATAATGCACTACATTTTGAAATGTATGTGTACGTTTATTAAAGCTGTATAACACAAGAAAGTTGTCTATTTTTATCTTCCCAAAAAAAACAAAAAAAAAACAGGATCAAGCATGATTTAGTAAATGATTCAACGACTCACTCATAAAGACAGTCACTTGTTGAAGTGCATCACATCTCATTTTCTTTCAGATTCACACCTCACTAATAAACGGCCGTCCCAGTGCGGATGATCCATCGCCCATGTTACTCAACTTCACCTCGGCACGCTATATCCGCCTGCGGTTCCAGAGGATCCGCACCCTAAATGCTGACCTCATGACCCTCGCCCTCAATGACCCCCGAGACATCGACCCCATTGTCACCAGACGGGTGAGTGCCTCAGGTGTCACTAGATATGCTAAAGGTGCTAGTGTGATGCTTTGACACCAGAGAGAGCAGGAAGAGGGAGAATGTGCCACACATGTGTTTGTCATCGCTCAGTACCATTCATACACCATCTGTGTGTGTGGATGGCTGGAGCTAGTGCTGCCCGGGCCGCCTCACCCATTACCAGCCTCTCCTCCTCAGACAGATGGGCTTTAATTAAAATCATACAGTAATTAACAAATCGACCCTCTCTTTCCCTCAAAGACGCCATATCACACGCCTCCACCCGCCCACTTCCTCCTACAAACTCATTAACTCGCTGATTGACCTGTTTCCATCAAAGAAGAGTTGCACTGAATTGCAGGATTACATTTCTCACGTGCATTGAGCAATTTGGATAAATGAACCCAATGTATTTAGATCAAAGAGTCATTTTGCAGTCTGAGAGGTTTAAGCCACATTGGTCGCATGTGATTACGAGGCTAATTTAAAGGTGATGTGTGTCATTCTCATATCAAATTGTATTTTACATTTACATTTA